TTGTTCATTAAAGTGACTATGGTGCCAAATAGAATGGATTGAAGGAAAAGAAAGCACAGTTATGAAGCTCGTTATATTAAATGACAAGCTGGAAGACCTTGCAGGGCACAGAGAGTGTGTAATATAGAGGTTTATCAGAAATAAAGGCACAGTTTTATTTAAATGAGCACTGGCACAAAATTGTGAAGGCTAATTAATGAGCAGAGATCAAATTTAAGACTAATCCCAATGCAATGATTGCATGAGATCTCATAAAACAGTTCAAAAATATATTTATTGCACCCTCTATTAGAATCCATATTATTATAATCCCTGAGACAACACAGAATATAAACACAAACAATGGCAGCATAGAAAAGATGCTTGTATGGGAAATGTGCCTGCCTACCATTGCAGAAGTAAGTGAAAAGTGGTTATGTTGAGAAAACTAATGTGTGGGAATTATATACAGTGCACCCTCTCTTAGAATCCCATTGTTATACTCTCTACAACAATACAAAATATGAACGCAAACAATGGCAACACAGAAAATATGGAGGCCAAATGTGCTTGCCTTGTATTGCAGAAGCAAGTGAAAAGTGGTTACGCTGAGAAAACTATCATGCAGGAATTAGCGATCGTGAATAGAAGGTAATCAACCTTATCTACTTTCTCGTACTCAGCACTGGAGCACAACAGTAAGCAATCTACATTAAAAGTGAGCAGATTGTTTGACGTAATGGCAAGTGTGTAAAGTCAACCTAAGGCACTTGGAAACAAACAAAGAACAGCAAAGATGTGGAGCAATGATACATGTGAAGCTTGTAGTTAAATAATTTCCCTTCCTCTTCATGTATTTTTCCAGGCATAGGAATTATATTGTTTCCCAAGTGCAATGAAATATGCTAAAATCACTTATTTTATAAAGGTGGTCTAGGCCTGCCTTGCTATCAACTATATGCCCATATCCATCCTCTCAGTATTTTTTAAGTGTCTCGAAAAAGTAATTACTAGCTCTTCAGACAAGTTTTCATGAAATGCAACATAATTTAGAATTGCCAGCAAGCACCTAGCTCATACCTTGCTTGATGAATACTTCAATCTTCAACAGTGCCTCACAATTGATAAACGAGTGTGCCCCTTTGAAATGTTTCTGTTTTCATGAAAATAATGCACTGTAGCGGTCACAAAAAAAGGATGCTTTTATATGTGAGTGCGCATGTGGTCCACGAGGCTCTTTTTTAGTGAAAATGACGCCTTGCATTGATTACAGGAAAAGCGACGCTCTCCTATATGGATGCGCATGTGTTTTGCGAGGTTCGATTTTCATGCAAATGATGCCTTGCAGTGATCACAGGAAAAGAGACGCTCTCCTGTGTGAGTGCGCATGTGTTCTGTGAGAAGGTAGGGGCGATTAAAAGTTGCTGGACATAAGTGGCACTGGAAGGGGCGCATGCCTGTGTGTGTAAGAAGATGCGCTTTCAAAAGACACTTTTTTTTTTGTCACGAACTCGCACACACGGCAAGATATACGTCCAAATTTTGGGGACACAAGAGAATAGTAGAGGTCATCGAAATCCACAGCTGAAGAACCTGCAAATACACAATAAAAAAAGAAAGGCAAAGGAAACCATGTCACACATATTGTCTGCAACTGAACCACAGCTGCACTTCTAAATGAAGAGCACAATCACATTCACCTCTACAAAGAGAGAAAGAGAGAGATAGATGGGGTTTAACGTCCCAAAACCACCATATGATTATGAGAGACGCCGTAGTGGAGGGCTCCGGAAATTTCGACCACCTGGGGTTCTTTAACGTGCACCCAAATCTGAGCACACGGGCCTACAACATTTCCGCCTCCATCGGAAATGACTGGTGAACGAACTGGAGCATATAACAAAACAGACAAAATTCATTTGCAAGTGATAGAATGGCATCATAGTTTTGGTGGTCAAGAATACTGGAACATTTGTGTACTTTGCACAAAAAAAACTATTAATGCATACTCACACTGTTTACACATTTTCCATTAATGTCCTTACCCTCCTTCAATGATAGCATAATGATACCATACAACACAAAGTGAAATGTTCATCACATTCTGTTTTAGACACAGCCACACACCAGTAGATATTCTTCTTGGTCACAATATACAAATAACTATACTGAAGAATACAATCACTATACATTGTTATATTCTTAGAAAACAGTCTTAGAAAACAGTAATAAATTGCCAAAATCGGCAATTCATTACAAAACAATCAACTTAACTCAGTGCAGTACTGGCATTTTAAGCAAGATGTGAGACACAAGATAATCAAGAATGAACAATCAAATCATGAATGGTGCGACATTTTTGATAGGACAAAATAGAGAAACATATAAGCAAACTTAAGTAGTTATTACTCAATATATGCAATGCCAGAAACAATAAATAAATAAATGAAGTTCGCCTGTCAATATTATTTGGAGATCTTGAGCAACACTATAAAGGGATGCATACAGCTTTCAGGGGGCTCAAATGCAAAATGAAACAAAACTGGACTGCCACGGTACGATTGTATCACAACCATTTACATATTGCATACAGGCAATATCAAAGTGACTATACCAAGCGTTGCAGTTACTTAAAAAAAAACTGTTTCAGTGTATGGGGATGTGTAAAGATGTGCATTAATAAATACTTAAACTGAACCACTCCTTTGCAAGACAGGTACAACTTCATTAAACTGATGATTGAAACATACATATTTTAATGAAATTCATTATGTATTGCCGATTTCAATTGACTAACAGTGCAGAAATTATATAGTCAAATTAATTTGTTTCAGTATAATCAATTCTTAGCAAAGGGTTTTTAATGATCATCGAATCATTGCTGCAATCTTTGTTCAAAGTGCATTCAGCTACATCATATGTGCGAAATGATAAAAAATTTCCACGAATAGACTGGTGCAATGCCCTCCTCGCAATATCCGAAGCATAATTCTTCGTTTCCCTTCAGAAGGGATGAACACATTTGCAACAACACACAAACTACTGTTATAGCCGGAACCAACAAGTACATTCAAACACACTTTTAACTATGGCCTCAATTAGGCTAGATCCTCAGAAGTTCCTGAATCAATACATTTTCACTTACTCGTCACTTACAATCACTTACCACTCTTTCGGTAAATTCATGCAACTACTCTTATGAAAAGGCATAGACATATGTTAATAAAAATTGAAGGAATTTATTTGGGGAAAATATATAGAATTGAATACCTGCAGCAGTGCAATGAAGCAGGATATAGAATACAAATGCTTAGCGGGAACCAAACCAATACACTGGGTATTGGTTTCCTTATGCTGGTGCAGTATGTAGGGGAAAACCACAATAATAAACAGAGCTGTTATAGCTAAATAGTTGTAGGTGCATGAAGTACACATGCCAGGTAATTGAGGTTAGACAGTTTCTTTTACACTCTGCAGAACATTTTAGAGATTCCATCTTTGAATTTTAGCAATAACGAAATGGTGCATCACAAAAAGAATCCACATGTACCACTCAGCAAGTGAGTAAAAAAATGCCAGGTCTGCGCGGAAAGCGCAGCACAGTCACAGCGAAAGCTTAAAAGAGCAGCTTTTCAAAGCCTTTTCTAAACACTCATTGGGTGACTGCTGCAAACACACTTGCTGGGTACCTACTACAGCATTATTATTAATAATTTCTGAGTAGTAGACCGGCGTTCACTATGCTATCTTTCGTCATTCTTCTGATAAGCGTGGTATCCTCTAAACACTTGCAAGGAATTTTGTGCCAACTTTTCATGCAGTGGCTGACGACGATGAGGAATTATGCCTGAAGTGGGTATGCGCTACAATTAATAGGTGATCAAAGACAATATTGAACTTCTCAGCGCAAAAATTTCCGGCAAGTAACAGAAAAGACGAGGACGAGCACAGACTTTCAACTAAATATATTACTACTACGACGCACATATATATGTTACAAAAAAGACGATAAGATCACTTGCTTACAAAACACAAAAACAAAAAACAAGAAAAAACAAAAAAGCACGTGGTTTTTTGCAGTCTCTTGACTTTTGGTTTTTGTCTTTTTTTGTTTTTTTGTTAATGTCTTTTGTAAGCAAGTGATCTTATCGTCCTTTTTGTAACATATATATGTGTGTCGTAGTAGTAATAAATTTAGTTGAAAGTCTGCGCTCGTCCTCGTCTTTTGTGTTACTTGTCGGAAGTTTTAGCGCTGAGAAGTTCAATAATTCATTACCAACAAGACCAATCCCTCACTTTAGATCAAGAACAGGCTCTTGTAATGGGTTGGAGCATGGGCATGAACAACTGATTAAGCTATTCTAATCGTGTTCACACCACTCTTACCCCGAAATGATGCCTAGCAAGTGAGAAAACGTTCGAAAAGAAAATCTTGGGATTTTCAAGGCGGAGTCGCCACCTAGAGATTTCCGAAAGAATTACAGTGACGAAGGAAAGTTTCAATGCATCCACTGGGTCCTACATAGCTTCCAATCAATGAAAATGAAGTACATTGTAATCTGTGGGTGCAACAGTCATATTAAATTAGGCTTTAGGGATTGACTTCGAGCCAATGCCCGGAAAATACAGATAAAACTTTTTAAAATTTCTTCTGTCACCTGCGGAGGAATTTGGAGCGAAATTAAAAATAAAACTATGTTAATTTGATACACTAATTATGAACTTATCATAGTGAAACATATAGCATTAGAGTCCTCAGAGCAGCAGTTGGTCAATCTAAATCAAGTCCTTGTTCCTCTTGAGTGTCCCGTTAACATAGTCCCCATACAATGCTAGCCTGAAAAACTCCACAATGTATGCAGAAAATATTGTACACTCCTTTGAACTACTCATTCACATACTCTCTAAAAACATACAATGCAAAACTAAAGTGCTACAATGCTGCCAACACTGAAGGAGGCAATCTTAAAAGTGATCGACTCTGGCAACTGCTGAGTGGCATGCTGTGAATCGAATGTCCGTCACAGCATGTTTTCAAGCAGGAGGTGCGATGCAGGCTGTAGGAACTCTGAATTTGGCTTTGGCTTTAACCTTGGCTGCCGCTTTGACAGAACTTGAGCAGGCAGAGGGCGGAGATTGTTGGGAAGGCACTGGCAATGTTTGAGGCTGCCAAACTGATTGGATGCAGCTTGAGGAGCTGCACAGGCACTAGCGGCAGCGGAGTCCAGCCAGGAGTTTTCATGCATGCCACAAACTGTTGCACTGGTACTAAATGAAAGGTTCTCAAAACACTCAAGTAAACAATTTAGGCAGCTGCCCATTCTTTCATCTCCGACCACACTTGGCCCTGGAAAAGAAACAAAACTATTGCTTGTACAACTATTTTAAATTTTGAAAAATATTTCTACTGTACATCATGCTGAAAAATGCATTGCATTGCGAATACATGCAGATACATGGATAAATTAGAAGTTTATCATATACTGGATGCAAGATATTAGATATCCAATATTGGAGTTTGCTTTACCATAAATTTGTACTTCAAGATTTCCTTGAGATGTTTGTGAAAGTCTTTGGCAATAAAAACTATGTCTCTCGACTAGCAAATTAAACAGTATCCGCAGTGGCTGTCCACAAGCTAGTAATTCAGCCTAGAAGGCCACTGCATGTATTGCCGTGTGCAAGGTAAAAAAAATTAGGAGATCTGCCCAAAGCTTTTACAAAATACTGAGACACCTTATTTCAGTAGCTTTGAAAGACCTGTGTGTGTATGATAATATTATCATACCTATATAGACATGTTATCACAATATCAGTGATGCAAACTTCTGTGTTCACATGTAAATCTGTACAATCAATAACAAAAGTTTCCAAACCACCTGAGCACCTGCCAAACTGCCTGTTCGCACCACCTAGCAGTGTGCCATATATCTTCTACTGCAGGGCTACGCCGTAAACAAATCTTCTTGTCACTCAGTGGCCTTTCTATTTTCTACTGCCGTGTAGAGCATTGTTAGTGCCCAGTTTCCACACGAAGCAGTCATCTGAAGTATGAACATTGCATTTTTATGTGACAGCAGGATCAAAGCTGTCATTGTGCCCCGAACAGTGTTTTTTTTTTTTGTTGTTGTTCGCAAGGTATCAATTTGTGATAAACATTGCAACTGATAACAGTTATGCCAATCAACTGCTCTCAAGGCAGAAGCACACAGGGACGCAGATGCCTAAAGAGCATGTCCCTACAAAAAGCGAGAGGTGTACATTACTTGTACCCGGTCAGAAAACAGACATTGATTGATTGATATGTGGGGCTTAACGTCCCAAAAGCACCATATGATTATGAGAAACTCCGCAGCGGAGGGTTCCGAAAATTTTGACCACCTGGAGTTCTTTAACGTGCCCCCAAATTTGAACCCACGGGCCAACAGCATTTCCGCCTCCATCGGAAATGCAGCCGCCGCAGTCGGGATTCGATCCCGCGACCTGCGGGTCAGCAGCCTTAGCCACTAAACCACCGCGGCGGGGTCAGAAAACAGACAGGTCATAGATTAAGAGTGGGACGCTTCTCGAGTGCTGCGAGGCTATCAACCGCCTCTGACGTAGCTGAAGTGTTGCGAGGAGGCTTACGCTTCGTGCCCCCATGGTCTGTAAACTTATGTGGTTGACTGTGCATTTATATTGTTACTCAAGAAGCTTGTATTAAAATACTGTGAGCAATCATTCTTCCATTTCAACTTAAAGATATCGACTGTTTGACCCTTCAGCAAAATCCAAAAGGAGATTGTTTTATGTCTACAGTGTGTATGTGCGTGTATATATATAAATATATGTAGCTGCTTTTAGGTTTATTAAAGCTACAACACATTTGAATAGTTTGCTAGACCATGAATGTCCGAGTGGGCTTACGAATAAAATCATTATTTGTAGGTTTGATAGATATGCAATCTTATAAGATTAAGACAAATAAATTATGGTACACATGAAAGCAATACTGCCTCATGTCGAACATCATGCGCGTAATTTGAGAATAATGGTTTTGATCCCCACCAAGTAGTTTTTCCATCCACTTCGGAATGAACAGAGTTTGTTCCCATGTGCCTACGGCTACTTACCATTTTTTTTTCTCATGGAGCAAGTGTTGTTTCAAAGTGGAGCACAGTTGTATGGATAAACACAGCTCAAGGTGGCCTCTCATTGCACCTTCTTTTACAGCTCTCCTTTCTTTTCACAAATGTATGACGTTACTCCCTTGCGGGCAGCCAAACTAAGTTACTTTCCCAATCTTATATCCACTCTTTCATTGTAACCTTCTGTGAACAAACTCTCCCCGTTGACCACTCACTCTTTATTCGCTTCTTGTTGGCATGACGACGGGACACGTGCTGTTTGAGATCCAGATTCCGTGAGAAGGATGCGCTGCAGTGGTCACAGGAAAAAAGCCGCTTTCCTGTGTGGATGCGCATATGGCGAACAAGGCCGTCTTTATGTGAAAAAGACGCATTGCAGTGGTCACAGCAAAATGGACGCTCCCCAGTGTGGGTGCGCATGTGTCTCACCAGGACGATTTTATGCGAGAACGATGCACCGCATTGATCGCAGGAAAAAGGACGCTCTCCTGTGTGGGTACGCATATGGCGTATGAGGTTCGATTTATCCAAAAATGATGCGTTGCAATGGTCACAGGAAAAAGGGCGCTCCCCGGTGTGGAGGCGCTTGTGGACCACGAGGCCGCTTTTCTGTGAGAATGATGCACTGCAGCAGTCACAAGAAAAAGGGCGCTCCCCGGTGTGGATGCGCATGTGGCGAACAAGGGTGTCTTTATGTGAAAAAGACTTATTGCAGTGGTCACAACAAAATGGACGCTCTCCTGTGTGGGTGTGCATGTGTCTCTTGAGGTTTGATCTTTCTGAGAACGATGCACTGCATACGTCACAGGAATAGGGACGCTCTCCTGTGTGCGTACGAATATGTCCTGCGAGATTCCTGTCCCGAACGAATGCAGCTGGACACAAGTGGCACTGGAAGGGCCGCTCGCCGGTGTGTTTGCGAAGGTGTGTTTTGATGTTTGCACTATACTTGGTCACATAGGTGCACTGTCGGCAGGAATGCAGTCCACCTTGTACGGACACGAGGGAATGGTACTGCTCACGGGATGCCGAAGACAAGGCACCTACAAAGCCACAGGAAATACAAAAAGGCAATAAAAACCAAGTACACACATTTTCTGTGAAATGGACTACAGCACCAGGCTATGACGAATGGTTGCTGCCCTTGTAAATGAAGCATACTATGGAAACCACATGTTATGGCAGTAGTAATCATGTAGTGACAGCATGTTTTACAAAAGTTGCCATCTCTCTCTACAAGTACTGTATTTACCCCTTCGTAGGTTGGTCTATATCTTTGTACCGATGATGGAAAGATTGGCTGTGGTATAGTAATATATATACTACAAATAAATAGTTTGAAATGAATTTCAAGAAAATCGAGCCAAAAGTCTATAAAAAAAAATCAGAGTATTTTCAAAAAATGGCAAAACACTGTTACGCTGTCTCGTTAAAGGGCCCGTAAACCACCCGGAGGTCAAAATTCAGTTGTGGTGGCGAAAATGCACGAGTGAATGACTAGAAGTAACCGTGAGAGTTTTTCAAAACGGTTCAGTAATAGCAAAGTTAGACGCATTTGATTATCAAAACCGCGACGATCCCTCATTCCATTCTCTTCTGTGCTTCCCTCTGCTGGTATCTTCTTCCAAGCTCTTAGTGCATAGAGATATGTAAAGGCATTCATCAATCATTACCTAACTTGAACAAGTCCTTTGTATGACAGACAATTTCGTTACTCTGACTGAGACACCCACTCTGCACCAAAATGTATTATGCTCTTCCCAGTTTCCATTCGCTAACAGTATAAAAAGTAAATTGTCAACTTCATTCTTGCATTACATAATTCCATCCTTAGCAGAAATCTATCAACACGGTCATATCACCGCTACAATCTACTGTTCATAGCATATTAGGCAGCGACATTAGCATAAAATGGTGTGTGATTGGCAAGAAGAGGCTGGTTGAACGCATTTCTGGTGAAATTCACAGCATACAGCATTTTCGTTTCTTCATAAAAGGAGTGGACACATCTGAAACAGCACAAAAACCACTGTTAAGACCAGCACAAAAAACACAGTAAGCTAAAATACATTTTTACCTATTGCACCAGCTAAGCTTGACGGTTAGAAATTCCTTAATAAATTATACTTTTTATAATTGCAATTGAGTTACCACTTTTTCAGTATTTACATAAGGTGACACATATTTTCAGCACTATACTTTTAAGAAAAATATGAGAATGAATGTTTGATTGCTTTAGCATATAACATACAAAAGACACATATGTACAGCAAACTAAACTAGCACAAAGAGTATCCATTTCTTGTTTTTAGCAGACTACATATGAGCAGAATAAAATAAATAAAGATTTAGCAGCTGTACACATACTGGTCATTAACTGTAGATGCCAGAAAATTGAATGTGTGGAATGTTTCTTTAGCACATTGTGGGACATTTCGGGAGGAGTCTTTCTCAAGTCTTATAAATATTGAAGGGCAGTTTTTCAAAGAGAACACAAATGCGAGACTTAAACCAGCAAGTATATACAACTGTATGCAATATTCTATCGTACAACACTGTCCCTCTTTCCAATGGAAACATGAAAAGAGTTTTCAGTGGCATTACATGGAGAGAAGGAAGAATCTTCCCAAAATTTTGAAAACATGTGTCAGTAAAAATAGCATTCAAGGCTGTAAGGGATTCATTGAAAAGCAGGCTAGATTGTTCCGTAAGCTAGAATGCAAAGGCTATCTATTGCACTTCACTGGATTTCTTTAGTAAAGGTGTTTAATGGGTCAAAAGCTACAATGCCCACAGAATACCAATGAAAGTAAAGTGTAAATGAATTACTGTAATCAAAGAGTATAGTGAAATCTAACGTGACTACAATTGGCCGAAAATCAGGTGTACTAAATATGTGTAAACAAATGAATATCATAAAACTATAGTGACAAAAAATGTGCAATGAATGTCAAACAAGTACGTTTACTGAGCACATACTATGGGTCCTTGTGTTTGCATTAAACCAGCAATCATTTTAGCACCATGATAGAATTTATTATTTCTAACGTTAGTGTGTAAAATCAATCTACCTGTCCCATGATCGTAACGGAGCTATCCCGAACAGTGGGGATCACAACTAAACAAAAAAAGCTGGCACATTCATTCCATGCGCATCAAGGGCCACGAACATATCTATTGGTTTCACATATTCGTGGCACAGACCAAGAACCCACTGATACAACTAAAATACACACAAATATGGAACTTGTGGTTGCTTTCAATAACCAGGCCATCTACTCTGCCACCTCACATGCATAACGTGACGGACACGCTGTTTCAGACCTCAGCACGACGCAAGTATCTCATCAGGCCTGCTTCTTTGAGCGGCTGCTGCTGCACAAGTATCCGTTTTTTCACTCCAGTCAATACCGACATGACCTAGTGAATAACGTATTAATAAGTGAAATCCTTCTATATGCAGAAAACAAATCCTTATCGGTATCCTTTTAGACTATTTGTAGGCAACTTATAAATTATAAAATAAAGTATGTGTATACATATATTTGTATCAATTGTTTTATTTGTTGTCGAAGTTGTACTCTACAATGCCGAGCATTTAAACTCTTATGCCTCCTTGTATCACTAAGTACATAAACGGGGTAAGCAGAGCAAGAGATATAGTCAAGTTGGTTTGTGATTACTGGTTTCACATCGCACCATCTGACTGTAAAGCATGTTCACGGCACGATATTCATATGGAATAAATGAGGTAATGACAAAAATGGTTTGTAAATACTAAGAAAGCAAGTACTTTCACGTACACTGCAGGCTGCTACAATAATGATAATAAACCAATAACATAAAAATGAGAACATGTTCAGATCAAAGAATGGGTTGCCAAGTGTGAAGCAATACACACACACACAAAAAAAGGGTTGAGATATTTCAAACCACATGATAAATGTGTTTTGGGACGCAGAAAAACAACCATTTCACAGCATTCGGCCCACTCTAAAATAACTATCTTCACTGAAGAGCATCACGTGTAAACACGCAGTATCACACATTCCTCCAATGCCAGTGGAATTAGTGAGAATAAAGGCAATACTAAAGGTAATAATGAATGTGCTGTGCAATGAACTATACCTAAACTGTAACAACAGCACATTAGTAATAATATCTATGGTTCTACGACCCAAAACCACAATATGATTATGACAGACTCTGCAGTGGAGGGCTCTGGAGATTTTGAGCACCTGGTGTTCTTCAACGTGCACTGACACCGCACAGTACAGCCACCGCCACGTCTGAGTAGAGGACACGAACAGCCGTGTTTTGCTCTGCGGGGTGAAACCCTGAGGCAGTATCAGGCTCTGACGTGATCAGCCTGACAACAAGGCCGCGCATGCTCCTGATACACCCCTTCAGAGCCCGATAATGCGTTAAGGTTTCGGCCCGCAGAGCAAAAACCGGCTGCTCGAGTGCTCTACACAGACATGGCCGCGGCTTTGCGCAGACCACTCCCACTTTACCTCCATTGAAATGTGACCACCAAGTCTGGGATGGACCCAGCGACCTTTGCGCAAGCAGCCCAGCAACCTAGCCATGGTTCTTCTGAGGGGCACTGATAGAACAATATGACGTCTTTAGAATTGTAGGTTATCAGCAGCTTTAATCAACTTTGTGTAAGCTAATGAACAAAGAAAGTGCTTTTTACGCTATGAATGTTCAAAGTGGAAGCGGCAACAACTTTTCAGTATTTGTTCTACACACACACTATCATAAAAGAAAAAAAAGAAAAACAAAAAAATGGGCAATAATGTGGCCACCACAATTCTGGCGAAATACCCGGTTGTTCTGCTAAGCACAAGGAAGCCAAAAAGCAGGCCAGTATTAAGGCATCTTAGGAGGTCTTACATTAGGTGCCTTATCTACCTTTTCGAGCTCAGCACTGGAGCACGACAGCATGCAATCTACATTAAAAATGAGGAGAACGTTTAGCGTAATGGCATGTGTGTAAAGTCAACCTAAGGCACTTATAAACAAAGAACAGTAAAGCTGCAAATGGTGATTATGTACAGATAATACAAGTGGAGCATGTGGTTAATATAATTTCCCTTCCTCTTGTTCATGTATTTTTTCAGGCATAAGAATCCTATTGTTCCCAAGCGCGATGAAATGTGTGAAAATCACTTATTTTATAAAGGTGGGCAAAGGAGCCTTGCTATCAACTATAACCCCACATACATTCTCAAAGTATTTTTTAAGTGTTTCGAAAACGTCATTCTTAGCTCTTCAGACAACTTTTGCATGAAATTAAACATAATTTAGGACTGCCAGCATGAATTTTGCAAAAGTCAATGGAAATAGCCTTATACTGACACAAAAAAGAATTATTCTTGATAGCAAAAAAAAAAAACCCAAGTAACGCTTAAAGGTTTCTACAGACTACATGAAAGCCTTACACTAATGTATCCAACCACAATACTCGTTCAAAGTAACTATATTGCTATAAAACACATAGTGTAGCTCATTCCTTGCTTGATGACTATTGGAATCTTCAACAGTGCCTTACAATTGATAATCGAGTGTACCCCTTTCGAGTGTACCTCAGTGAAAAAAAGTGCACTGTAGCGGTCACAAAAAAAAGGACGCTTTGATGTGTGAGTGCGCATGTAATCCACGAGGCTCTTCTTTAGTGAAAATGACGCCTTGCATTGGTTACAGGAAAAGGGAAGCTCTTGTGTGTGAGTGCGCATGTGTACAGTGAGGCTATTTTTGAGTGCAAATGACGCCTTGCAGTGAACACAGGAAAAGAGATGCCCTCCTGCATGAGTGCACATATGTGAAGTGAGGCTATTTTCGTGTAAATGATGTCTTGCAGTGATCACAGGAAAAGGGACGCTCTCCTGTATGGTTGAAAATGTGTACTTCGTGATCGGGTTGGCGAATAAAAGCTTCTGGACATAAGTGGCACTGCAAGGGGCGCTCGCCGGTGTGTCTACGTAGATGCCCTTTCATGGCATGCCTTTTTTTGGTCACATACCCGCACACAAGGCGG